AGTTATAAAGTCAGAATTGCGAGTTATAAAGTCAGAATTGCATGAAATAAACTTGCAGTTGCGATTTAAAGTCCAATTTTGAGGGGGGGAAATAGACTGATATTTTCTCAGAATTGCGAGTTTATATATCACAATTCTGAGAAAAAAAGTCAGAATTGCGAGATAAAAATTCGCAATTACCTCTTTTATTTTTTATTCAGTGGCAGAAACGGGCTTCCATAATTCCATGTCGTATTTGCCAGAAGAGTTTTTTTTTAGCAAACATTTAGTAAATATTCAGTCTCAACCACTGACTAGTTCATAAGACATGAGACGTAAATAAACATGGATGTTCGTATGACATAACACGCAAGTAAACATACGCATCACAGCACTCCAAATGTCCGCAAGCATTTACATGCTTAATATTTTTCCCTGTTGATCAAATTATTTAGGTCTACACCACCCCTTCCAATCCAAATTGTAATATTATTGGGATTGTTTACATGAAGGCGTTTCAGTCCCACTGAGCTGTCAACCCAATTCTAAACAGATTCTTTGGGTACACATGTAAACGTAGCTACTGTCATCCAAAAAACAGATCTATGCCACGTGTGGGACACTTAGGTGTGAACAAACCTAATTCCATTTAGATTTGTTGGCAACATATGCTTGTTTTGAAAGTTTTTAAGTGCAAGTCTTGGTGTAATAAATGGCAGCGTCATGTAAAGCGAGCGCTCGCAGTGACCTTGTCGTCATTACAGGTGCCGAGTCTCTCTCGCGCCTCCTCCTGTGCGAGCAGCTGTGTGTTTAATGGCTTCATCTCCTCTCACAGAGCACTAAGAACTGGAGGGCAGCCGTGGACCTGACAGGCAGACTGCTGACGGCTCACGGCCAGGGCTACGGCAAGAGCGGCCAGCCCACCAACCACACCACTGACTCCCTGCAGGTGAGCAGAAGCACCAGGACACTGAGGCTAGATTTAGCTTGTGTCAGGATTTACTAAAGACATGTACAGTGAAACATTAGGCGTGCATACAGTTATTTTTGCGGCTGATATTATTGCATATACATTTGTAGGAGTTTCCCTTTCTGATGCAAAACTTATGGGAGGGAATCATTTAAATTAATTATGCAAAAGTTCATTTGCTAACATATCAAATCTAATCAAATCTAGTTTTTTTTATGAGTGTTTTCTCAACATTGCATATCTAATACACACCTGACAAACACATTTCAATTATTACTTGAATGAGGGCTAGTGTAATGTTTCATGCAAAATGTTTAATTGTTTAAATTTAATTCAGAACACGTTTCCTAAAATGTGTTAAACTAATAGATTACGAATTTTCGGCATTTAATTTGTAATCAGTAACAGACTACATTTTGTAAGTAATCTACCCATCTCTGATCATGGCTGTTTCTGCTGCCAGATCTCTTCAAATTATTTGTTCATGACATACTTGTCTATTGTCATTGGCTTTGTTATATATACACGTGTTAAACCAGCAAGATGATGTTTAATGGTATTCTGTATGTAGTACTTAACAGAGTGTATGTTCAGTAATATATGGAGTTAATACTTGTTAGTTTTCATAATGCCTGATTTCACCAGTAGAAAACAAAAAGTACATTGTAAAAACGTCCATGGCTGAAGCAGCGTAGCACTGTCAGTGTTTTAGCTATCGGTCTGACACCCACTCAGTCCACAGTAACACGCTGAGGGCCCAGCGGCTCTGGAGACGGATGAATCAAAGCACGCGCTCGCTTTGATGTGCCTCCACACGTACTGCTGCAGAGAAGAGTTACGCTGTAATACTCCCAGACCAGAAAGCATCGCAATACCACAGTTACAGAAAGAAGTAAATGTTGATCTGTTTTGTTGAAGCAGGTCTTCTCTCTACAGCTCTGGTTTGTGCGTCTTGCTCTTCTGGTGAAGCTCAGCCTTTTCCAGAACGCAGAGCTAGAGTTTGAACCCTTCGGGAATCTGGATCATCCAAATCTCTACTATGAATACTATCCGACGGTTTACCCTGGAAGACGAGGTAGAAGTTCTGGAGCTATTTAACTACATTTCATGTGCAAGATGATGTTAAGATGTTGGGAAATAGCTTCAGGAAGAGTTTTTTTTCTAAAAGAAATTAGTAGTTTTATTCAGAAAGGATGCATTAAATCGATCAAAGGTGACAGTAAAGACATTTATAATGTTGATTTCTATTTTAAATAAATGCTGTTCTTCAGTGAATCCTGAAAAATATAACGTATCACGGTTTACCATTCAAACTCATCTATCTATCTATCTTCATAGCAACACTCTAGCAACTATCCAAACCAACCTAGCAACCACCCCGGGTACCCTAGCAACTGCGTAGCAACACCTTAGCAACTGCCCGGGTACCCTAGCGACCGCATAGCAACACCTTAGCAACCATCCCGGGTACCCTAGCAACACCCTAGCAACTGCCCTGGGTATCTATCTATCTATCGTAATAGCAACACTCTAGCAACTATCCAAGCCAACCTAACAACCACCCTGTGTACCCTAGCAACCGCATAGAAACACCCCAGCAACTGCCCTGGGTACCCTAGCAACCCCATAGCAACACCCTAACAACCATCCCGGGTACCCTAGCAACCGCATAGCAACACCTTAGCAACCACCCTGGGTTCCCTAGCAACCTCATAACAACACCCTAGCAATCACCCAGAGTACCTTAGCAACCGCATAGAAACACCTTAGCAACTGCCCCTGGTACCCTAGCAACTGCATAGCAACCACCCCAAGTACCTTAGCAACCGCATAGCAACACACTAGCAACCACACATGTATTCTAGCCGCTGCATTTCTATCTATCTATCTATCTATCTATCTATCTATCTATCATCTCTGACAGACTGTATATTGCCTTCAAAACATTCAAACTTTAAGCTTTTAAAACTACTTCAAACTTCAAACTATTTCAGACTGAAGACCATCAAACTTAAAACTTTTTAAACTTCTTAAACTTTTCAAACTTTTTCAAACTTTATGGTCCGGCTTTCTCAAGCCAACTTAAAGTTTGTCTTGACGACCTTTTTTATCTAGTTACTCTTGTCGTTCCAAACCCGTAAGACCTTCGTTCATCTTCGGAGCACAAATTACGACATTTTTGATGAAATCCGAGAGCTTTCTGACCCTCCATAGACAGCAATGCAACTGAAATGTTCCCAGACACAGAAACGTAGTAAGGACATCGGTAAAACAGTCCATGCGACAACAGGGAAAGTGCGCGCATGCATCATGGTACTCTCCAAAATGGTGGAAGACGGTAACTCGGGGGAGAAAAATTGTTGAATAAAGTCATTATTTTAGTTTTCTTTGCACACAAAAAGTATTCTCGTAGCTTTGCAAAATTGAAGTTGAGCCACTGTTGCCACATGGATTATTTTACCGATGTCATTACTACATTTTTGGGTCTGGTAACATTTCAGTTGCATTGCTGCCTATGCAGGGTCAGAGAGCTCTCGGATTTCATCAACAATATCTTCATTTGTGTTCTGAAGATGAACGGAGGTCTTACAGGTTTGGAACGACATGAGGGTGAGTAATTAATGACAGAATTTTCATTTTGGGGTGAACTATCCCTTGATAGTCTACTTCAGAGATTCTACTAACTATAAATAACTTTACAACTACATTTCAAAGCCGTCATTAGAATAATAGATTGTCTAATTAATAACTGCAAACACTTTATTCATTCTACTGACTATAAGTAGCTTTGGAAGTACATGTCAACTTATTCTACTAACCCTAGCCTTAGTAGTTCTTTGTTTATGTTATATTTGGTCTGTCAGAAAGCAAAACTACCTGAATAAATGTGGGGAAAAATAGAAAAGTCATTTGAAATTGTAATAATATTTCACAATATTACTGTTTTTACTGTAATGTAGCCTTGGAGAGCAGACGAGACTTCTTTCAGAAACACTGAAAAATCTAAATTCTGAGTTTGAAAATTTTGAATGCTACTGTAAATGTCTTTCAAAGGATGCAACAAACCTGGTGAATTAAATTAGTTGCAATTATCAAATGCAATCATAACATCAGCCCACTACCCAACATATGTCATACTATATATGTATATCTCAGTCGGTCAGGTGAAATCTTCAGACGGTGATGCAGCGCTTGACTCAGGATTCGTCCTGATATCAAAGAAGCGCATGATCAAAGCCACAACCCCTTGTTTCACCAGCATAGATTCGGTTTCTTTAATGTGTTTCTTGACAGAAAAACAGAAGCGAGAATAGAACAATGGTGCACTTACGTTCTGCATAAGAGAAAGAGCGTGCATTAGTGTTAATATATGGTTCTGTTTTGCATGTTCTAGGCTCGATGGTGCCGTTCTCCATGCGTGTCCTGCACGCCGAGCTCCCTCAGTACCTGCAGAAGCCTCAGGAAACTCTGGACCGTCTCCACAGAATAAAGAGCGTCTGTCAGAAGGTGAGCCCGCGCTTTACACCTCAGCGCCCGCACCTGCTCGCAAATTTAATTAGCCTCGCTGTAATTAGTGTTGTAAAACTTCTGTTCCTGTCCTTTCACAGATCTTGAGTAACCTGCAGGAGGGTTTAGCTGAGGACGGGAGCATGATGAACCTCACGCAGGACAACAGACTCGGTACAGACCGCTCAGATCTGTCCTCCGCAGCTAGTGCAGGTCAAATACATAGCGCTGTTGAGTCGAAAAGAATACAAAAATCTGTCAACATTCACTCACCCTCATGTCATCACCCTTCCAATTAGTTATTTATGAGATTTCATATAAGTTATGATGCCCATGTTATATTACAGCACAGACTTTTAAGAGATATTCACATACGGACTCAACATCTCTTAAAGGTCTGTGTTGAGAAAGGACTGTAAAGTCGATATTGATCATCTTGCACTCAAAATATTTTTTTTAAATATTAAAATGTTCTTAAAGTGAGACAATGCCCTAACTTCCTATTAGGACAAATATGTGACCCTGGACCACAAAACCAGTCATAAGGGTACATTTTTTGAAATTGAGATTTATACATAATCTGAAAGCTGAATAAATAAGCTTTCCATTGATGTATGTTTTTTTATATATATTTATATATATTTGGCCGAGATACAACTGTTTGAAAATCTGGAATCTGAGGGTGCAAATACATCAAAATATTGAGAAAGTCGCCTTTAAAGTTGTCCAAATTAAGTTCTTAGCAATGCATATTACTAATCAAAAATTAAGTTTTGATATATTTACGGTAGGAAATTTACACAATATCTTCATGGAACATGATCGTTACTTAATATCCTAATGATTTTTGGCATAAAAGAAAAATCGTTATAGGCTATAATCTGATGCGCTACATGTCTGCTGTAACAGTACTGTGATTTCAGTTTCGATTCACTTCGCTTTAATTTGCATTTGAGAATGCAACATGAATCGTTTATAAATCTGTTGTTGTTTACAAAGAGAAGTTTCAGTGTCACATGATCCTTCAGAAATCATTCTAATATGCTGATTTGCTGCTTAAGAAACATTTACTCTTTTTTATTATTATGAATGTTAAAAACAATTTTTGCTTAACACTTTTGTGGAAACCATTTACCATCGCCTTTAAGATTTGTCTGGCTTGAGATGGCAGCATAAGATCCCGTCTTGAGTGATCCATCAGAGTAGAACGCTGACGCGTCTGTAAGTCTTGCATGCTTGATTGACTTCCTCACATGTTGTTTTGGTGGAGACAGAGATAAATGCATGCTTCAGCATAGCTGTGATTTCAGTAGCCCCCCCGCCAGCCCACCGGCTGTGTGTCTGATGTGCTTTCAGCGGGACGGACTCCCTCCTTCATGGGCACACGTCTGTAGCAGACCTGCCAGGTGCTGACAGACCGGCGGGCCGGTGCCAGACTGCTGTTTTTGTGTGGCTGTTCATTGTCCCTGGCAAAATGAGGAAGAGAGGTTAATCAGAGCAGGATGGGTTCAGATAGAACACATACATCCTATAATGCACGTTGAAGTTGCAAATTTTGTCTGAGCCATGGATGCTTCAGGTTCAAGTCAATATAATTTTCAGGATTATCAATATCATTTTCTGTCCTCCATTTAGTGTGCTGATAAAAATGCAAAAGCCCAAAAAACAATGTGGCCACAAAAAAAATGTTTTATTAAAATTTTTACTAGGGCTGCACGATAAATCGCATGCGATATTTAACGCACATCTTATCAGTAAAGCTGGTTCTGTAATCAGCGGTAAATCTCCATCACGTGCGTGCTTTCACATTGAGGAGCATTAACTACACAGAGCCGTTGTTCACTGACGATCTGTGCAAAAAATCACGCGAATAGAAAGAAAATCGGAATTGGCAAAAATCGGTATCGGCAGATCACACTAACAAGAAATCGGAATCGGCCAAGAAAATTGCAATCGGTGCATCTCTAATAAAAACATGCTGCAAGTTTCAGAAATCAAAACTTTCTCCTTTGTTAGAAACCGCTTATATTGAAGCCGAGCTGCTAAAACGACTTAATTCTTTTTAGTATCATAATGAAAGGTCCTAAAACGACTAGTTCCCTTTCGAGTATTCACTTAACATTGTAAAACATTCGCTGTGGGAACTCCTCCCCTTCTCTGAAAATCCTGAAAACCTTATAGGATAATGCCAGTACAATAAACTGGCCAATTGTCGCTAATTATGTAAATCAAATGCAATTACTGACAAGCCTTCAGGCAGTATATAATGTGGTAAGAGCGCCAATTGCCTCAGAATCAGAACATACGACAACTTCTTCACTGCATCCGATGGCTACCTTCTGTCGAATCTGCGCTGGCCCCATCGACCCACTGGACCCACACACGCACTGCATCGCCTGCCTGGGCCTGGCCCAACGCTGAGGCTGCGTTCTCTGAATCTGACTGCATGCACTGCTCTGAGTTGCCAGCACGCCTTTTGAGGATTCGGAGGAGCATCGCTCGTGGCCATACGGGAACAAGGTCCACTGCTGTCAGGGAGCCGCTGGTGGGCCCTTGCTTCCCCGACGCCCCTTTCGCCAGCCCCCAACACTGAGGGCCCCCCAGACCTCCAGGAGGAGCTCGCCAGGGTCCTTGTGAAAAGCCGTTAAGCTGAACTGGGATGCTCCAGAGGAACCTGCCTGGAGTAAGCCGCCACCAAGCTGCCTCGAGGAGGAGGGTTCCGTTCTTCCCGGATGTCCACGAGCAAGTGGTGAAGTCGTGGTCTGCACCCCAGTCGGCGCGTGTCCACTCTTCCACACAGTCCGTGTTCTCCCACGCGGACGGGGCGGAGGTGCTTGAAGGCGATGAGTCACCTAATACTCCATCCGTTGTTGAGATCATGCTCCTCTTCTGCACCCCGCTTCCCTCGCCGTGTCCTCTGTGGCTCCTGTACCTGAGCCCAATGTTTTCCGCAATCAGTGGATGAGACCCGGGAAAAGGCATCACGGACAAAAAAGGAGCCCCCACCGTGACAGTGGACCACCCTAGGCTGCCAAGCCTTCATCCTGATGGACCTGCCAAGAGGAGGAGAGAGCTCGCTGGAGGCTTGGCTCCCAAGCACCGCATCCTGCATTATGTTCCCCTTGTTCCTGTGAGCGACAAATGCAATGTTCATGTTTCTGTTGGTTAAATAAAAACACAAACATCCTCACAGAAAGAGCTGTTTCCTCCTCATCATATAGATATGGCATTACTCACCCTGCCTCAGAGCAGCACAGAGCCGCTGTCTTTGCCTGTTATGGCCTCCCAGTGTTATCCTCCACGAGCCATTTCCCCGTGGAGAGCTATTCCAAGCTGGGTGCTGGGCATAATAGAACACAGGTATTCTCTCCAATTCAGACGCAGACCACCCCGTTTCAACAGCGTGGTTCCGTCACTGACATTGCCTCAAAATGCCCCTGTTGTTTCACAGCCTGCTCGCAAAAGGAGCGATAGGGCGAGTCCCTCTGAACGAGCTGGAGAGCAGGTTTTACCTATTTTGTGTTACCCAAGAGAGATGGGGGACTCTGTCTGATTCTGCACCTGAGACCCATCAACAGAGCACTTCACAAGCGTGTGTTCAGGATGTTGACTCTGAAGCAGATCCTGGCTGGTTTGTATCCATAGATCTGAAAGATGCATACTTTCATATTCAGATAACACTGCGCCACAGATGCTTTCTGAGGTTTCCTTTCGAGGGCACGGCATACCAGTACTCACTGCTCCCTTTCGGGCTGGCTTTAGCCTTGCCCACATTCCCGAAGTGCATAAATGCGGCGCTTTCCCCTGTCAGAGCGAGCGGTAGGGCGAAGGTGGATCTGTTCACGACAAGCAAGAACACGCATTGCCTGCTGTTCTTTTCGCTGTCTCGCTCCCCGCTGATGGGGGACGGTCTGTCATCGCGTTGGCTGAGAGCCAGGCTTTATGCGTTCCTCTGGTATTATGCAAAATCAGGGAAGAGAGAGCATTGGTGATCCTCATTGCCCCGAACTGGCCGAATCAACCTTGGTTTCCGGACCTCAGGGAGATGCTGGTGGCTCCCCCTTGACGAATCCCACTCAGGGGGGATTTCAACATCAGAGCTCATACAACGAGGGCTATTGCTTCTGAGAGTGGGTACGAGACACTGCTCGATCAGTAGTGTTCAGTCTTAGATTCTGAGGCAATTGTTGCTCTCACCAGAATTCACCACACCCATCCGAACGGGGCGTTCCGACGAGGGGGCTCAAAAACAGGACAAAAAATAGCTTGTTACTTCTAGGTTATGTTTTTTGATACAAAAGTCATGTTAAAGGGGTCATATGATGCGATTTCAATTTTTCCTTTCTCATTGAAGTGTTACAAGCTCTTGGTGCATAAAGAATATCTGTAAAGTTGCAAAGACTAAAGTCTCAAATCCAAAGAGATATTCTTTATAAAAGTTAAGAGTCAACCACGCCTACCTAAAACGCCTCATTCTAACACGCCCCCACATGTCTACATCACTATGTGGGAAGATTTGCATAACACCGCCCAAATGTTCTCCCAAAGAAAGAAGGTGTAACTTTTATTCTCGCTGTAGTATTGTTGCTGCCGCCATGTCGTGAAGACGCTGTGTGCTTCGTTGTGAACGCGAAACTACTTTGTTTGGTTTTCCAAAAGAGGAGACAACTTAAGTTGTATTTACAACACTGTTCCAGAACAGTTCAACCCAAATATTCAGATGTGTGCAGCGCATTTTATGGAGGACTGTTTCCTGATCCTGGTAGAGTAGACTACAATGTAGGCTTGCCGTGATTGATGGTGATTGCCGTGATTGATGGTGATACGGGTGTTAAGCCCCAACACCGGTTACGTCACTTGCCCACCGCGTCACCGACCCCCACCGTCGTTTTGATTTTTATAGTAATAAAAATCATTTAGTTCAGTAAAAGAACAGACACTACAATTAAAAACTGAACGTCCTACGTCTAAACACACATATCCACAGAACTCCCAATGCGAGGGCGACACGTTTGCTCATAAAGATTTTTAATGCCGGCGTGCTGTATGCGCTCGCATTTTATTGAGACGGAAACTTTTTATAGGTAAGAAATTGCACATTCAGGAGCTGGTTTTCAACGCCCCATGAATTTTTTAAATACAACAGCTAAAAGCTACATATATTTCTCAGCAATGAGGTGATAACTTAGCAGTTTTTGTAATTAAACCGACAAGCTTGTTTGCAATGCTTCACAATCGCTCGCTCGCACATGGGTGCATGCGTTCGTTCATTCGTTCGTTCTCTCTTGCCTTAATTAATTCAAATTAATTTCAATAAATGTCATGTTTATTTCACTAAAGAATTCTACCTCTAACGAGCTGTAGATAAAATCTGGTAGCATGCAATTTGTTCCCATTCTTGAACAACCTAGTGAGCCCTTTCTTAACTTAGACTACGTTTACACGACAACAGTGTAGTCAAAAACTGAAACGTTTTTCCCTTGCGTTTTTTAAAAGTTTCACGTATACACAATAGGCTTGCTGCGATAGATGGTGCTGACGGTGATACCGGTGTTAAGCCGCAACATGTCACTTGCCCACCGCATCACCGACCCCCACCCCCAACAGACACTACAATTAAAAACTGAACACGGCTGCTCATTGCAGTTGAACGACAGTTGCATCACAGATCAGATTTAATTTCTCCAGTGAGGAGAGTGAGTCGAGCTGAGTGACAAGAAGAGTGGGGTGAGACAGACAAGACGATCGCGGATGATTTAGTTTCGAAACTAAATCTAAAAGCGCCTGTTTGGCAATATTTTGAATTTTGAAAAGCCTGCTGACTTTTGCCTTTTATCTAAGGTGATTTTGGAAATTTTTTTAAACATTAGTTTCTTATTTAATTGGTTCCACATTGTTTGCTGATTTTTACTTTATTTAAACTTTGTGTCATTTTTTTATTTTATTTGACATCGAGGTGTATGCCGTGCCTCCAAGCTTTCTCACTCGTTTTGCTAATAAACGTTCTACGTTTCTTATTTATTTGGTTATATATATTACATGTTTACTTGTTTCCAGTTTTGTACATTTAAACTTTATGCAAGTTATTTGTTATTTTATAGTAGGCATAGCCTGCCCTATAGCATGGTGTATTTTTATTTGTTTTGTTAATAAAAGTTCTATGTTTTATATATATGCTAAAGTGAGTTTGACATTGTATTTTGTTGTTGCATTCAAGCAATTGATGCCGAACTGCTGTTAATTCGAAAGTGAAAGTAAAATGCGCACTGCGCTTTTAAGCTATTTAAAAGCAAAGGAAAGCGAGGAAAAGAGGGAAAATTCAAACGAACTAAAAACGAACAATTGCTTTACTCCGAATTGCCGCTATTTTAAAGTGAAAGTAAAATGGGCACACCGCTTTTACAAGCTATTTAAAAGCGAAGGAAAGCGAGGGAAAGCCCCGCTCCCGCGGTGATACCGGTATTACCGGTGTTGTTACACGCCGATTAAGCGGTGGGAAAATTTCCTCACCGACACAACCCTACTACAATGCCGGCAGTTCTGATTCAGTCTGTAAGTACGTCTTCATATTTAAAGGATTTGCCACTGATGATTCAAACGTGAGTTTTGAGCAGTGTAGAGTAGTGCTTGTTGTTTGTCATTTCTGTCACAAATGCAGACATGGTTTTATGTTTACGTGGCGCGATGCAACACGTAAAAAGACAGTATAAGTCATTATAATCCGTAATTATGTCCCCACTGGATGCAACAAATGCCTCGTTTATAATGGGTTTTAATATTTTTGTCTCGTCGCTCCGGCCGGACACGGCATCGTCACAATATGGTAAGTGGTTTAACATTTCCGTCACACACTTGAGGTATTCGGCCAATCACAACGCACTGGATAGCTGGTCAATCAGAGCACACCTCGCTTTTCAGACCGATGAGCTTTGTAAAAATCGACGCGTTTCAGAAAGGCGGGGCATAGAGGAGAAACAATAATGTACAGTATGTGGAAAATAATGTGTTTTTTGAAACTTAAACCGCATAAACACATTTCATTACACCAAATACACAAAATAATGTTCTTTTTAGCAACATCATATGACCCCTTTAACATTATAAGTGGATCTCGGAGAACAGTATAAATTGAAAAAAAAAGGCAGTTCATGACCCCTTTAATCAGTATGTTCTTCAGGAATAGTCTCACAATTATCATTGTTTGTGCAGCAGGCGAGTGGAGGAAGTCACACAGCATCAGTACTGAGACATACGCTGAAGTCTGTTCATGCACACACACACATATGAGATCAGATCGGCTCGCTGATGGGGGTCTACAGTGAGCCAGAGGGGGGAAATAAATGCGATTGTCACTGTGTCTTTTCCTCCTACACTATAATTCGCGCCAGCAGACCAAAAATTGATGGCCCAGAGCCAGGAAAAGGAGGGAAAGACTGCAATTTCCAATTCCATTCGCTCAGTCTGTCTCTCTCTCTCTGCTCTGTGTTTCAGCCTCCATCCAGCTGTGGAGGTCACGTCTGAGCAGGGTGATGTACTCCATGGCCAACTGTCTGCTAATGATGAAGGTACGTGAGTGGAAGAGCAAGCAGACTTATACTCGCTCGCACATTCATATGTGACCTGAATCATATCTGTGCACATGAACATACTCTAGGGTTAGAGATTACAGGCTTTCCTTCAAGCAGGTGCCTACTGATAAAATAGCTTTTCTGATTATTGTTCTACTGGTAAAACAGTGTGTATGCAGACATACTAGACCTTTATAGTATACCCTTAGATTTAGACTGTCAGTGGCTAAACAAATATGCCTGATTTTTTGCAAGTTATCGTGTTAAACAAGTGCCATCTGCTGGCCAAAGACTGTAGTGACACACACACACACAACAAAGAAACTCACAAACATGAATCTTGTTGTAGTGCATCTTTTTTTGAATAAATATTGTATAAATGTCATGCTTGGGGGGGGGGGATTTTTAAGATACAGTGCAGTTAAATTCGATAATTGAAACTTAAATTCTTAAATTGTTGTCAATTCTATTTCTGATTTATTTTAATATATATCACTTCTACTCTGATTTATTTTCTATAAAATAAACATGAAAAGCATTTCACTGCTTGATGTATGAAAAATGTAAATTATTATTTTGAGTAATATTAAATAATGATATGTAATTACTATAGGATTAGGGTCTTTTTTAAAGTTAGCTGCATACAATAATTTAATTATTATAATTGCATAATTTACTGTTATTACTGTAGTAAGTACAGGTAACGTATAAAAAGGACACTGTAAAATAAAGTATTAACAAATTCCGTCTTTATTTTTGTTCAGAACCCATATTTTGTAACACAAATAGACAATTTGTGAAGAATTCTCTCACAGTCTTTTCAGTGACCACATCTGTCAAGCTTAAGGATAAAAATGCATGAAATAATCTTAACATTATTTCATACACCAACTATATTCAAGTCTTCTGAAGTCATTTGATGCTTTGAATGAGCTTTCCTTTCCACCGCAGCTGTCAAATCTCATTCATCCCACAATATTTAAACTGGCATGATGCATTTGGTCCGTCGCTCACATAAAACTATCATATGACTTCAGGAAACTTGGAATATGTTACCTCCTCCTCAATCACTAGACTGTGGAGGTTCCTAAGTCATATACTGTAGGCATTTTTATGGTACTGTCATGGTGTTTTTGTTCTTTTGGAGCTTGACAGTCATAGTCATGGAAAAGAGCTGCACAAAGATTCTTAAGAATATTTCAACAAAGTAGTTTTGGAAGTTGGAACAATAATTTTAAAAAAGCAAAAGAAAAGCTGTGATTATTTTCTCTTTCACGTGAAGGACTATGTGCTGGCAGTGGAGACATATCACTCCATCATCGAGTATGAACCGGAGCAAAGAGTGCAGCTGCTGAGTGGAATCGGCCGTATTTTCCTACAGGTGAGAGCAGAGACACCAGGAGTCACTGGATCAGATGGCATCAACAGCAAAACCGCTTCGAAGTGTGAACTTTAGAACTTTAGAATTGTGGCGTCTGCTCTATGTACACTAATGTCCAAAAATTTGCGGTCAGTCATTTTAATTATTTTAATTATGTTCAACAAGGGCACATCAAAGGCCTGAAAAAAAAAGAAAAAGAAAAAGAAATAACCTTGCAAATGCTGTAAG